CAACATTGGTGTTCTTTATCAAAGACTCTTTATCCATATGTTGGATCTTCTTTGCCTATTTTCAATATTTATCATTTCTCTCAAATAATTTCTATGTCTTTCTGTATTTCTTCTTGACTTAAGAAAACCTTATTTTCAAATTCTAGCTTTCTTTAGGCACTATCATTGTGTTTGTTTACTCCAGTGTTCCTTCTAGTTTAGTATTTTTTTCTATTTCTAATTCTTTCCCAAGTTGTTACTTCATATCTGAATTTTTCTTATTGTTTTTTTCTGTCATATCCTGTATAATTTTCTTAAAATTTTAACAGTTTTAATAGGACTTTTTCAGTATTGATACTGTGCAAGTTTTGCATTTGTAGTTTGACTCCACCTTCTTGTATTTTGTGTTTGTGGAGTTATCTGTGATCGAGTATTGTTGCAAATATTGTCCCATGCATTTTTGGTTTCACTGTATACTCTGTGTTTATGTGAGGATTCGTGGAGATTCAAAACTCATGTACAGCCATATTTACATAATCCATTTACATTTTGACTCATGAATACTCTCTTTCTACATCCCTGAGCCTTTAAGCCTTAGCTGAGCATGATGGGAAGGAGCTAGGGTTAATCAGGATGTTGTTTGAATTTGCAGTGGTGCATTATATTGCAACCTCATTCTTGAGTGATAATTCAATTGGTTATAACATTCTAGGTTATCAATAATTTCCCCTCAGTAATATATATTTTGCACACATATTTTTACTTTTGAAAATTTGGCTTCCAATCTAATTGTCACTTCTTTGTAGGTAGGTTATATTTTAACTGCTGCTCTCAAGGTTGTCAATTTTTTTTCTTTGCTTACATTCATCACATTGTATGTTCTCAAAATTTGTGTTTCTTCCATCTAAAGAGTCATCTTTCTTCAATTCTAGAAAATTATTGGCCAACATTTCTTTGAACTTCGCCTCTCTCTTTTGAAATGCCTTTTAAATGTAGAACCTCTTAATTTGTTCCTTACATAAGCAAGTTAAAATTAGTTTTTTTAGCACTAAAACAGAAACACTCTTACTTTTCTCAAAGGCAAAGTCAGAGAAAGAAAAAAAGAAGTGACCCCTGAAGTTATCATTTGATTATCTGTAACTAGATATCCTTTAAACCTATTCCTCTACTTTTTAGTTATGCAAGTCAATAAATTCATTTGGACTTCTGACAATTGTAACCAATAGTCCTGATTAAATGTCTACTATGTGAGTGGCACTGTGCCAGCTACTATATAATCAGTGGAGTTCCAAACAAAGTCCATGTGTCCAATAAGCACAATATTTCACTCTTGTTTATGTCATCTTCATTTCTTTGTTCCTGCTTCTCCTGCCTCCACCACCCAAACTTGGAATGCTTGTTTAAACATTACACTTCGTTTACTTTAAAACCAAATTTGTAAGGGTAACCTTTCTAGCTATATGCTACCATGACCTTTCCCTTATTTTGGATTCATAGTATACTAATATTGTCTTAAATAGGTCTGCAAATGTGAGGATTAACCAAAAAAAAAAAAAAGAAAGAAAAAGAAAGAAAGAAAGAAAAAAGAAAAGAAAAAAGCCCTTACGACAGGAGGACCCCGCTGCGCTCTCCTTCCTGAAGCATCCCCACACTGTTCCCCTCTCCCTCTTTGTACCCTTCCGTTCATTGCCTTTACCTTTCTCTCTCCTAAGCTCCCAGGGCCCTTCTCTTGCCCCTGTAAATTGTTTCCTGCGCCCATTTCTTCTACAGCTCGTTTCTACTTCTGTGACTTTCTAAATAAACGTTCTCTCATAGTTTAAGTCTTGGCTCTAAATTAGCCAGAACTCAAGTACGAGGTTGCTAAACCAAGGTCTGGTCTGACTCCACCAGTCTAACACCTGGTGCTGCTCTCACCACCAACACATACACATATTGCTATCACTTAATCAACTTGAGGACATAGGAAAGCGTATTAAAATACAAATATACTCAGAGAAGGCTCCAAAGCCCTGCGATATGAAAGGTCTTGCCTTAACAGAAAATAAAGGAAAAGGCACCCAAGGTGGGGGACACTGGATTTGAGGAAAGGCGCAGTTCTGCTGGAGCAGTAGGCTTCTGTCTACAGCAGTGGAAAGTAAGATTTTAAACGGTTAGCTCCAGAATAAGGACAGTCTAGCTCTTAAATCAGCGCGATCCCTCTTCTCTCACAATGCAACTCTCCGCAGCGGAGCCAAACGAACTGGACAAATGTCCGTTTAATTTGGTTATTCATTCCTTCTGACGGGATACGTCTCGTACCATCTCGCAAGCAAATGGCCGGGGGCTATTTGGAATGAATTCGAGCGGAAACAAGCAATGAGCCCTGCGCCCGGGGAGTCAGACGGGCGGGGCTGGGTGACCGAACAGGCGGCGCTGGCCCCGGGAGCTCTCTAGGAACCCTCTTCCTGCGTCAGCATCCCTCCCCGCCGGCCGAGCCCCGTCCCCCGGGACCAGCTGCAGAGGCATCGGCCTTGGGCGTCATTAAAGCCCTAGCGGTGGGGGCTGGTGAGCCCCAAATCTACACCCTGAGGACTCCCAGCAGCGGAGCCACGCGCCCCCGCCCCGCCTGCGACCTGGCCCGCAGCCCCACCGCCCTCTCCCTCCCACGCCCGCTCCGCCCCGCCTTGCCCCCGCCCCGCGCCGGCCACAGCTGCAGAGGGGCGGGGTTTCGCTTCGGTGGCGGATTGTTG